CATCAAAAAACAGATTCAATATTAATGATAAAAAATCTGATTTGAATAAAACAGATTTCATACCAGAATTTGATCCAAAGCTGCAGTGGCATCCGAAGCTACCAGAATTCATACCAGATTTCATACCAGAATTTGAACAAAACAGATTTCATACCAGAACAAAATAGTGGCATCCGAAACTGCAGTTTATCCGATCTGATCCGAAACTGAAGTTTATCCGAAGCTCTGATCTTCACTCAGATCTTCACTCTGATCCGAAGCTCTCTCTCTCCGCAGCTCTCTCTCCCTCTGATCTCCCTCTGATGTGCAAAACTTTCCTAACTTTATTGATTAAAACTCTGATCCGAAGCTCTCTCTCTCCGCAGCTCTCTCTCCCTCTGATCTCCCTCTGATGTGCAAAACTTTCCTAACTTTATTGATTAAAACTCTGATCCGAAGCTCTCTCTCTCCGCAGCTCTCTCTCCCTCTGATCTCCCTCTGATGTGCAAAACTTTCCTAACTTTATTGATTAAAACTCTGATCCGAAGCTCTCTCTCTCCGCAGCTCTCTCTCCCTCTGATCTCCCTCTGATGTGCAAAACTTTCCTAACTTTATTGATTAAAACTCTGATCCGAAGCTCTCTCTCTCCGCAGCTCTCTCTCCCTCTGATCTCCCTCTGATGTGCAAAACTTTCCTAACTTTATTGATTAAAACTCTGATCCGAAGCTCTCTCTCTCCGCAGCTCTCTCTCCCTCTGATCTCCCTCTGATGTGCAAAACTTTCCTAACTTTATAAATTTCTCAGATTTCTCATACCAGAATTCAAAACAGATTTCTCATACAAGATTTCTCATAACAGATTTCTCAGATTTCTCAAAACAAATCTAATTTCTCAAAACAGATTTCTCAGATTTCTCAAAACAAAACAAATTTCTCAGATTTCTCATACCAGATTTCAATTAACAAAACAGATTTCATACCATAATTCATCAATATTCAATATTCAATATTCAATACCAGAATTCATCAAAAAACAGATTCAATATTAATGATAAAAAATCTGATTTGAACAAAACAGATTTCATACCAGAATTTGATCCAAAGCTGCAGTGGCATCCGAAGCTACCAGAATTCATACCAGATTTCATACCAGAATTTGAACCAAACAGATTTCATACCAGAACAAAACAGTGGCATCCGAAACTGCAGTTTATCCGATCTGATCCGAAACTGAAGTTTATCCGAAGCTCTGATCTTCACTCAGATCTTCACTCTGATCCGAAGCTCTCTCTCTCCGCAGCTCTCTCTCCCTCTGATCTCCCTCTGATGTGAAAAACTTTCCTAACTTTATTGATTAAAACTCTGATCCGAAGCTCTCTCTCTCCGAAGCTCTCTCTCCCTCTGATCTCCCTCTGATGTGCAAAACTTTCCTAACTTTATTGATTAAAAATAAAAAAATATCTACAACGGCTCTTTATTAGTGCTACTTTATTCATTAAAAAAAAATTAAATAAAAACATAACTCAGACATGCCTACAAAGGTTTTTTTTAATAAAAAACACATTTACAACGGATATAAAAAAAACGGCTCTTTTTTTTTCTATAAATACAAACCTTCTCTTCTCTCTTTTTACTCAATTTCATTTCACAATAAACTTTGTAAATTACATTTTTATTTATATTTTCTTTACACAATCGGTATGGAAGGTTCATCAAAAATAAAAAGAGGAAAATCATTCACCATTGCTGAAGATATGGCACTTTGTCGAGCTTGGTGTCACATTTCTGAAGATCCAATTGTTGGCAATTCACAATCTTATACTCACTTTTGGGGGAGAATTTATGAAAATTATTGCTCCCTTCAGAATGATCAGTCAAGAACACAAGTTTCTATCCAATCTCGATGGGGTACAATCATGAAATGTTCTAAGAAATTTCGTGGATGTTTAGCGCAAGTCGAAAATCTACACCCAAGTGGGATGTCTCGAGTTGATCTAGTAAGATTTCATCTTCATTTATTACGTTAGTTTTTATTTTATTTTATTTCATCTCATATAAAAATTAAATAGTAATTACTTAATTCAATATTGACAGATGCTTCAGGCAAAACTTTTATACCATCAAGATGAAAAGAAACATTTTGCTTTTGAACATTGTTGGTCAATCTTGCAAAATAATATCAGGTGGCAAGATGTAACTCCTACGAATACGGTGAAGTCAAGGATACATACACCATTTTCCCCTGATTCAGCCCCCGATTCCCCTATGGATAATTGCATTTCTCTTGAAGATGACACCAGTCCAAGTGTTGGTAACAATCCAACTGTTGGTGAGGGCAGTGTCTCTGCAAGGGGTAAAAGGCCGATGGGTAGGAAATCTGCAAAAGAATTGTTTCGGAAAAATCAAGTCGTTCAAGCTGAAGTTCAAAATATGAGCACACAATTGGACACATTTAACCAATACCTTGCTGAGAAGGAAAAGAAAAAAGATGAAAGAGAAGAAAAAAGGATTCAAGCACTGCAGGAGATGAAAGAACTTGAGATGAAAAAACACGACTTCGAGATCAGAAGACAAGAACATGAGATGAAAAAAGAAGAACATATGATAATGACTACAGACATTTCTCATTTGGACCCTCAGATGAAAGCATATTACACAATGCGAAAAAATGAGATTTTTGCCAAGTGGTCCTCAAATGTGAGCAGTCCAAATTTTTATTTCCCCCTACCTCCTGATGAATAATTACGGGATAAATGTTAGTCTTTATTTTTTGCAATATCATTTATTTTTTGATGTAATTGTTAGTCTTTATTTGCAATGTAATTTTTATTTTGTAATGAAATTTCATGTTATTTTAAGAAACATTTTTGAGTCTTTTGTACTTCACATTTAAACATTTAAACATTTTTTTTAACAATTTTTTATTTTTTTTATTTTTTATATTTGTCTAGTTGGGAATAATATAAATATATAATTTTTTTAACAAACAGATAAAAAAAGGTCACAAAAGACAAAAAATAAATAAAAATAAAATCACAAAAAACCAATATCCAAACAACACCTACAAAGTTGGAGGGAAAGTTGATTGAGATTTGCCAAAAATAGCAAATGATCATTGGAGCACTATTGCTATAATTTGGCAAAATAATACTATTCATTGCCAAATTATAGCAATAGCAACCCCAATATAGCAACAACCATTGGAGATGCTCTAAGGATGCAAAGATGCCTTGGAAAATATTTTTCAAAACTTGCTGAAAATAGGGGTCTCGCTCGAGCGTGACTTTCTTCGCTCGAGCGAGCTTGTCAAAACAGAGGGGTCGCTCGAGCGTAGACTCCTTCGCTCGAGCGTCTGTAAAAATGCAAAAATACTGGTTGTTGAAATTTTACGCTCGATACCCGCTCGATGCTCGCTCGAGCGTGCGTCTGCGTGCACCAAAAACCTGAGAGCTTGCAATTTACGCTCAAGCCACGATTTCTTCGCTCGAGCAGAGCTCTGAACAAACAATGGTCGCTCGAGCGTGGAATCCTTCGCTCGAGCGAGGAAGCCAAATTCTGGAATTTCCAGATTTGCCTCCCAAGCTCAAACCAAGCATTCAACACCTCCAAACTCAACCTCTTGGGACCATTTTCTGGAAAACACTTGTAAACTCATAGTATAAGCTGTTTCAAAGATCAATTTGTAAAATCAAAGCCCAAAGGTGAGTCAATTAAACACAATTTCAAATAAAATGTCAAGAACATAACTTAAATGTAACATACATGAATTCTCATGACTTCTAATGCTCCAAAACATGATCCAAAACAAGATTAAGCTCAAGAATATGATGAATTCATGGGCTATTACTAAAATGTGGACATGCATGTGGAAATTCATGAAGAACAACTCCAAAATCCAAGAATATGTGCATGTATGCATGAATTCACTCTCAAATCCAACTCTTAAAACCAATTCTAGACTTTAAACTCTAACCTTCCATGAACCATGCAAGAATTAATCTTAAATTCACAATTAAAAGGGAAAACTCCTACTGTAAGTCTTGAATTCCAAGCCTAGAAGCTCAAATATGCAACTACTCTTCAATTCTTCCAATTCCAAGCAAAATCTCTAGATGAAATCAATCTCCTACCTCTCTCCCTCTCTCTAGTCGGTTTTAGCTAAGAAAATGGTTGAGGAGATATGTTTCTAAGTGTAAAAGGTTGGTCTCAAATCAAGCCACTAAGTGGCATAATGGTAGATAAGTCCAACTAATGTAATTTAGCTTATTTAATCCAATTTAATCATACCAAATCAAATTTCAACTAAATTTACTATAAAATCACATTAATTCTAATTAACACAAAACACTAATCAGTTTCGGATTCGGCCGCCGATAAGGCCTTCAATTTACAGTTTAACACATAAAACAGGAACAGATCATTTTATGGCAAACAAATAAAAACACTAAGATAATGCAATACATATGCAATTTAATTTCGAATTCCTTCTAAATTACTGTTAGGCATAATTAATTATGGCTTAGCATTAATCGGAGGTCGGGGTTATTACAGCAACAGGGCGGGGCGAGGCGGGACTGGGGACTACACTCTCCGTCCCCGATCCCCGAAAGTGACAATTTTTTCGTCCCCGCCCGACCTATTGCCCGCCCCCGCTCCTGATCGGGGATCGGAGATCCCCAACCCCGAAAAATCCCCGGATTATTGTCACATTTCAGTTTTTTTTTTTTGTTCTTTTTGATTTGAAAAGTTCTATTCAATTTGTCAACATTTTTTCAAATTACAAAATCTGTAAGCATTCTATTCAAACATAATATTGGGACTGCTCAATATGTCAACATGTTTTCAAAATAAATCTGTCCAACATGTTTTCAAAATAATAAATCTGTCAACATTCTATTAAAAAATCTGTTAACATGTTTTCAAAATAAAAAATCAGTAAATAACAAAATAATATAGGGATTGTTCAATATATCTTATTGAATAATATTGGGGTTGTGCAATATATTGGGACTGTTCAAAAAATCTGTAAACAACAAAATAATATTGGGACTGTGCAATAAAATAACATCTGTCCACATAGCATCTGTAAACAACAAAATAGTCCCATGCACAGCCCACACAAGAAAATTCAGCAACCACATCACAAGCACAGAGAATAATTACTCCCAAGCACAGCCCGCAAGGGATAGGCTACCCAAAAAATAAAATTAAAAAAAAAAACAAAACAAATCCATTAGAACATATCAAACCAAATCCATCATAAGAAAAAAAAGATAAAAAACCAAGATTGTTTGTCCAAATACTCATACAACCACATCACAATTTTCATCATCTCTTTCAACTTGAATTCCTGTTAAGTAACAAAAAGAAAAGAAAAAAAAAATCAATACTAATAATGAATACATAATCAATTAAAAAATGTTAACAATTAATCAATACTAATAAAAAATGTTAACAATTAAAAAAAAAAAGAAAAAAAAAAAGATCACAACTAACACAAAAGTGGCACACGACACATCCGAGAAACAAATTAACTAAACATTTGAAAATATCAAAGAAACAATTAATAACTAAGCTAAAACAAACAGACAGATATGTTCTTGTGAATTACCATGAAATTCATGCTAGCATGTCAATCATCACTTGGACGTGAAGATAATGTTATAACTTTAATATAGCACATCATTTCATAGTTCTAAAACAGTTGCTAATACAATAAAGCAAAAGAGCATATGAAAATAATGTTATGAACCCAATGTGGGATATGAGTACAGAGAGAGAGAGAGAGATAATGCACACCTTGCGATATGAGTGCAGAAGAGTTCTTTCTAATTTTTTATCAAGTTTTTTCAAAGTTAACCCACTGCAGATATACACAAACCAATACATATGCTTAGTGCCATGCTGATAGAAATGTCTCATAAGAAGACAAATGGAGTAAATAAACCAGCTTCCCTACCTTTCCTCATCGATATGACCTGAATATAAAATGATAAGCAATAACAAAGAGTTCTCTGAATGAATCAAATCAATCCCTCACAGGATGTAAAGAAAATAGTTGAGATTACAGCTTTTCCCCTTCCTCTCCCCAATTAATAACTAAGCTAAAACAAACAAACAGATATGTTCTTTTATTTGCAATAAACTTTGAACTGAGATTACATTACATAACAAATCCTAGTTGTGTTTCTTTATTATCAAGTCCCATAACTTTGAAATCTATTACATAAACTGAGATTACATATTTTAATAATAAAAACCATATCATATGTATATATCGATAAATAAATTTAGAAACACAGATCAAGAACTCAGTAAGGGATTGATTTAGAAGAAAAAGTCTCACAAATCAAGAACTCAGTAACTAAAATAAATAAATTTAGAAGAAAAAAAAAACACTTGAGTTCACAGATCATACACTCACAGATCAAGAACTCACAAATCAAGAACTCAATAACTAAAATAAATAAATTCAGTAGAAAAAAAAAACACTTGAGTTCACAGATCATACACTCACAGATATATATATATATATATATGTATGTAAACCCACCTATATCGAAATCCCGAGAGAGAGAGAGAGAGATACCCTTTGAAATCGACAGTGAGGGAGGATCGCCGGCGAGGTAGGAGTGGCAGTGAGGGGCGACCAACCGTCGTGTGTGTGTGAGAGAGAGAGAGAGAGAGAGGCAAAACTCTAAGTTCTAACCAACAGCGGCGGTGAAGGAGGAGGATCCATAGTGAGGTACGAGCGGCGGTAAGGGAGGATCGGCGCCGTCGTTGTGTGAAAGAGGGAGAGGGGAAGTTGAAACCCTAGACATAGAGAGCAAGAACAGAGAGAGAGAGCGGCTCTGTGTGTGTTGTGTGTGAGTGGTCAGCCAAAACCCTACACACACACACATATGTTATATATAACCAGGGGCAAAATAGTAAATTCAAGTCGAGGGGCAACTAGGCCGGGGATCGGGGCTAGGGCCGAGTCGGGTCCAGGGTTGAAACATGAATCCCTGTCCCCGGCCCGAATATCATCAGGGATTTCATTTTTAATACCATCCCCGGCCCGTCCGGGGTATTTTTGAGTGAATAACCACTTAATTCGGGGTTAGGGGATTGGGTCTCCATTGAGCCAGGTTCCGATTGCCATCTCTATGGGAAAGTAGTAGTCGCAATGACCTCTCACTTTCTTTGAATAAAAAAAAAAAAGAGATTATGGCCTTGTTTGGTTTGTTTTTTTAAAAAAAAATTGGAAAAAATTCTCTACAAATAAATTTTCAAGAGTAATCAAACCAAACAAATTTTTTCAAAAAAATTCTCAAAATTTTATTTGGTTACCTACTTTGCAAAATCACTCTCTCTTTTATACACATCAAATCAATCAGTTTTTTTAAAACTCTCTCTCCAAAACAATTTTCCAAAACCATTTCTGAAAAAAAGACAAACTAAATAAGTTTTCGTACTTTTTATCTCAAAAACTACTCTACAAACACAAACCAAACACACCCTTCTGTTATCAATTTCTCAAATTTTCACTCTCTAGTGATTTCGTGCACTAAACAGTTAAACAATGGCTTCTTCGTCTGTTCCATCTTCATCTCGACCTCAATACACATATGATGTGTCTGTTCCAGCTTCATCTCGACCTCAATACACATATGATGTGTTCTTGAGCTTTAGAGGCGAAGACACCCGTGATAACTTCGTCAGTCATCTTTACACTGCGTTGGCTCAGAAGGGGATTCACACCTTCAAAGATGATGAAAAGCTCGCGAGAGGAAAAGCGATTTCGCCCGAGCTCCGAAGGACTATTCGAGAATCGAGGTTTTTAATCGTGGTTTTATCGAAGAATTACGCTTCTTAGAGGTGGTTTCTGGATGAACTCGTGGAGGCACTAGAATGCAGCAACACAACAGTTTATCCAATATTCTATCACGTGGATCCATCGCAAGTGAGAAGGCAAAGAAGGAGTTTTGGGGAGGGATTTGATGAATTGGTTTCCAAAGAAGGAGTATTGGGGATGAAGAATGTTCAAAGGTGGAGGAATGCTTTAGGATGACTTTATCCCAGTGATACCGTCATTAGGTAACTGACAATTAGATACAAAAATATATTCACATTTCATCAATATATATATATATATATATAATATAATATAATATAATATAAGTAAAAATGTTGTGCCTTCTTGAAAATCTAAATCTAAATCTAAATTTTTTATATTTTTTGAATTTTGTAACACTAAAAAAAAAACACATGTCATAAAAGGATTGAGTTTCATATTATGGTAATATCTCTTTGACATTTAAAGTACGTTTTAAAATGCAATAATATGCCATTATTGTTTATAAATTAATAAGGAAATGTTTTCAAAAAATTTTACAATATAATCTTTTTAAAAATGCTTACACAAAAAATAAATTGATTTTTTAATTTCTAAATCCTTCTAAAAATGTTTATACAAAATATAATTTGTTTCTATTTTTCTTATAAGAGTATTAGATAATTTATTTTTAAATTAGGACAAATTACAGCAATGGTCTCTATAGTTTATCTATGGTTTCATTTTGGTCCTTGTACTTCTACTTGCATCAATTTTGCCTCTACAATTTGATTTTTGACTCTATGTGGTCCAATAATTAACAATCATTGACTTTTTGGACGGAAACCCGGGATGAAACCAGTCAATCTGTAAATGAAACCACAGGAGAAGGTCTTTTTTTCTCTCTTTCCTCCATTTCTCTGATTTATTCTTTTTAGTTCTCTCTCTCTCTCTCTCTGAATCAAACACTTCTCTTTCCAAAGCCATCAATGGCAGTCTTTCAAAAGCCCATTGTTGAACATTTTCTTTGGCTGGTAAGTTTGTTTTGGTACAAGAGATCAATCTCTCTGTTCTATTATATTCTTCATTATATATTTGTATATTTTGTATCTAATAAAATTTAAATTCCCACAAAACAAAACCCACCTTCCAAAATAAATATTATTCACAATATATTAAATTTTCACTTCCAACAAATCTCTCAAACCCAATCATTCACTTGTAGTCAAACTGAATTTAGCTTCAACAAAACATATAATTTTCTTTCCCTTCCTTTCTTTTTCCTCATGAATCTTCGAAAGTGTTGATGTAATTACTAGAAAACAGAAAGAACCTAAAAATCCTAAAACAAATCCAAAAAACAATCATTTGAATACAAATGGTAACAGATATAAACTTCTTTTTATTTTTATAAACAGTCATTTGAATACAAATGGTAACAGACTATGAAGCACGGACACCTCTCCGAGGGCTCCGTACCAGTGTCAGACACGTGTCGGACACGGACACGCGTCGGACACGCGGTGGACACGTGTCCGACACGCATGGGAGAGTGTCCCATTTTTTTTTTCATTTTTTTACATCCGGACACGTTTTGGACACGTTATAGACACGTTTGGGACACGCGCGGGGGCAATTTCACAGTTTACTAAAATTTTTTGGGGTCAATTTGAAAATAACCAAAAGCAGATCAAATTTGCCCTAATCTGCCCTAATCTCTTCGAATCGACTATGGAATAGAAGATAAACAGCTGAGAAAGAGAGAAATAAAGGGGACCTAACTTCGTCGTACGTCGTCTCTCGTCGATCGTTGCTCCACGTCGGTCGTCTGTCGTCGGCCGTCTGTCGTCAGTCGGCGATCTTCTTCGTGCGATCTTCAGTCGATTTGCTGCTTCGTTAAGGAAGGTACGACTCTTCGATCTTCTTCGATCGCTTCCTCTCTTCGATCGCTCCCTCTGTCTCAGCCTCTTCTCTCTCTTCGATAGAGCTCTCTCTCTCTCTGTCTCAGCCTCTTCTCTTCTTTCTTTCTTTTATTTCATTTCTTTTTTCCTTCTTTCTTTTATTTCATTTTTTTTTCCTTTTCCTTTTATTTTGATTTTGATTTTGATTTTTTTTTTCTTTTATTTTTTTTCTTTTATTAATTTAATTTTTTCTTTTCTTTTTCTTTAATTATGATTCTGATTTTGTTTTTTTTTTTTTTCTTTTCTTTTCTTTTTTTTATATTCTGATTTTATTTTTTCTTGTCTATTATTTGATAATATAATTTTAATAATGTATGTTTATTAATTTTATTAGAGGGACCAATTATTAATTCTGAAACAATGGTTACGGGTGGTAGTTCTAATGATATACCTGATGATGATTTTGATGAGAATAAACCATTGTGGAAGTATATAATTAAATCAATTAAATGTTTATTTTTTATAATTTTAATAGTGTTATTTTGTATATTTTATTACCTTTATTTGATTTTTTTTAATAATTTTATGACATATAATAAATAAAATTAATTATATATATTGAACGTGTCCCCGACGTGTCGTGTCCCCTATTTTTTGAAAATTTGCGTTTTTGCGTGTCCGTGTCGTGTCCGTGTCGTGTCGCGTGTCCGTGTCCGTGCTTCTTAGGTAACAGATATAAACTTCTTTTTATCTTTATTTTTTTATTTTTAACAAACAATCAAATAATCATAACTAAAATCATACATACAGACCCATATAGGAAACTAAACTATAATCTCAAATTAAACACAAAAAGCAAAGACCTTAAATAACAATCTCAATCTACAGACAATATATAGTAGATATAATCCATGTATACAAAGGAAACAAACCAGGCCACATTGGGCTAATCTCATAGAACCACCCAGGTATAACAGAAGATATATAACCGGTCTCTTTATTGTTGTTATTATTCAGTGTGTTTGGTTTGAATTTTTTGGATTAAGTTTTTTGAAAACTAAGTTTTTTGGTTTTCATGTTTTTTTTTTAGTGAATATTTTTAAAATTTTAAATATTTTTTTTTACTTTTTAGAGGCACCTTATTTAGATGTATCTAGAAAATAAAAAATTTGTGAAAAAATATTTTAAAAAATTAATAAATACATAAAAATACAAAAAAAAATGTACTAAATTCTCGTAATTTTTTTTTTTTTTTGGTATTTAGTGAATTTTTAAAAGGTTTTTTTCACAAATTTTTTACTTTTTAGGTATATTTATATTAGGTATGTCTAAAAAGTAAAAAAAAAAAAAAATTGCTTAAAATATTAAAAAAATTCAGTAAAAACAAAAAAATTACGAAAAATAAGAAAGTAGAATTAATCTGAAAAGTGTTTTTTGAAAAACCTAACCAAGCAAGCTGTTATTAATGTCATCCATATCTACAGAAAACATAGACTCCGTTTTCTTTGTCTTCTCTCGGCCTCTTCACTGCTCCATTCTCCTCCGCCATCTTCTCTTAGAAACAGAGACTCCATTTTCGGTGAAAGCAAATTCGGTTTCAGATTCGGATTCGTCACAGAATTTGTTGAATGACTGAAACAAAGGGAAATTTGTATATTTTCCCAACAAGATAGAAGTAGAGAACACATCGGTATGAATACTCACACCTACAAAAGTGTAGATAAGGTTGTTGAGGAAGTCGAAGAGGGATTGGGGGATTTGGGGGGAGTAGATGAGTTGAAAGATGAGGCATTGGCGGCCGACGCAGAGTTGGAGACTAGCTGCGGGGTTATTATGGAAACGGTTCTTGGGTCGCCACTCGATGTCGAGGCCGATGATGAGGCGGTGGAGAAGGGGACGATGGATGGCTGTGATTTCGGAGATCCAGGAGTCAACAAGGAAGGAAGAGCGAGTGACAAGGGTGTGGATTTGATCAGTGAAGAAGGTTATGTCGTGGGTGTCGTTGGGTAATAGGTAGTCGACAATGCTGAGATTTGTGGTTGCTGCTGCCATTGATGGCTTTAGAGAGAGAAGGGTTTGATTCACACACACACACACACACAGAGAAAAGACCGTCCCTGGTGGTTTCATTTATGGATTGACTGGTTTCATCCTGTACGTGCAAGGCACGCGTGGGTTTCCGTTTAAAAAGCAAACGACTGTTAATTATTGGACCACATAGAGCCAAAAACCAAATTATTGGGGCAAAATTGGTGCAATTAGAAATATAGAGACCAAAATGAATCCACGGGTAAACTATAGGGATCATTGCTGTAATTTGCCCTTTACATTATGTTTAATCATTGCATTAATTATGACATCGTTTTATATTAATACCTCAAAAATTCGGGATCTCACAAAGGGTCTATTGATATTCGATCAACTTAATTTTTTACAGGTATATTCTGCTCAATATTTTTTAAAAATTAAACGATTTGGATGATGAAAAATAAAGTCCGAAATCATTCTCATAAACCGCACAACAGTCACTGTTATGCAAGCTACACAACAGTGACCCCTTATCCTTCACAATGGGCCTGTTTGGGTTTTATTCACTATTGTATTCTAAAAGAAGTATTAAAAATATTTTAAATTTTAAAAAAATTGGATAAAAAATTTTTGAATGATTTTTAAATCTCGATTTTATCAAATCGACAAATCTATCTAAAAAAAAAAATAAATGCTATGATTTTTTTTTTTTTTTTTTTTTGGAGAATGAAAAAAATAGAACTAATTATTTTATATAGACCATCTGTTATTTATAATTTAACTATTTTAGAAAGTAAATTTTGTTGGGTGTTGAATGTTAAAATTTTCAATCATTTTTTGTCATAATTTTGATATTGAAAATCTTATTAATTATGACCCATATTTATATCTACTAACTTGGTGTTTGGAATTAGCTTTTTTCAGTAGCTATTTTATTAACCTTTTTTTTTTTGGTGATTTTTTTTTAAAAAAATTTAAAAATTTTAAACGTCTAAGTAATATTAGACAAATCGGAAAAATAAAAATTATTAAATACAAAAGAGTTAAAAAGAATTTTACTTTTTTAATTGATACCAAACAAAGACTAAGCCTGGTTTGGGAAGTTAATATTTTAGCAAAAAAGTCAAAAAATATACAACAAAAAATTTCTTTCTCTATACTTTTTTACACATTTTTCACAAAAAGTAAAAAAATTCTTAAAAAAAATCAATTCTCAAAATTTTATTTTAAGTTTTCATTAAAATTGGCATCTTAAAATATTATTTAAAAAATAAAATTACGTCAATGAGACAATGAGACAATCATTTTTATGGAAACTTTCATTTTTTTTTTTTAATTTTCGAAGAAAAAATAATAATTAAGAATATTGATATAGCGATCCCGGGTTTGTCCCCTTTATGTACAGTGTTCTGGTCTTAGGTTCCGTGGAGTTGGTGGTTGTATGTCCTGTTGTCATCCTTTAGATTCCGCATGTCTGAGTTTTAGGATGTGTTGGGTGTGTTTCGAACAGGCTGGTTGAGCCTTAGTCCCTTTCCTTGTTGCCCAGAGTTTTGATGGTACGCTCGAGCGGGTACCTTTGCGCTCGAGTGGAGTTGGATTTTTGGTTGTACGCTCGAGCGGACCATATCATGCTCGAGTGGAGTTTTCACACTTCCAGTATCTGTGTCTCTGCAAAACTTCTGCAGATGTGTTTTTCACGCTCGAGTGGGTTTCCTTACGCTCGAGCAGGTCACGCTCGAGCGGGTCTGTTGGCGCTCGAGCGGGGTGTTCATTGTCTGCGAAAGTTTTGAGAGGGGTAATCTACGCTCGAGCGAACTGGTTTTCGCGCTCGAGCGGTTGTATTTTGTTCTTGTGTCTTAGCGCTCGAGCGGGTCCAGTTTTTATGCTTGACGCTCGAGCGTTCTATTCTCCGCTTGAGCAGATCATGCGTATATCAGTTGGCAGCTGTGCATTCGTGAATCACTTTTCAACTTCCACTCTCTCTCTTACTTTTCCGAAAAGCCATTTTTGAGAGCTCCTCTCTCTAGAATCTCCCTTCTCTCTTAGGATTGATCTAGTTAGAGTGTTCTTCTACCCTTTGGCCTTTACAAAAAGTGTGTTGATCGTCGAGGGTTACGTTTTGATCCGAAAAGTTTGGAGTTTGGAGCACTTTGAGTTTGGTCCTCTCCTCCGTTTGAGCTCTAACTTCGAGGTAGGGATATCCTACTCCATCTTATGAGCTTTGTCTTTAAATTTTAGTGTTTCAATATGTTGGGGTTGTTGGGTAATTTTGAGAAAGTTTGGGGGCCTTTGTGTAATTTTCAAAAGATGGGTTTTCAAACATATAAACTCTTATGTATGTAATATATTGGAAAATGGACTTGGTGTTGGATTGTTGATGAAAAAGAAACCTTAGGATTGGTATTGTGAGTTTGGGAAAAAGCCCTAATTGCATGATAAATTAATTGGTATAATTAATATTGGAAAATGAGAAATTGAGTAGGAAATATTCAAATTAGAATGGTGTGGGATTAAAGGGTATAGTTGGATTAATTTATCGCTCACCTAGGTAAATGTTGATATTTTATCCATTTGGTGCATTTATTTTCTGTTTAGAAATAACTGTTTTGGGCTATCGGTGGAGGATAGTTTTGATTGTTGTAGACAATGCATGATGATTAGGCAAACTAAAACTAATCAATTGAGTACGTTATTGAATATAGCGGTTGGCATAATACACCAAATTTTGTATTGATTGATTGAATTTGTATATGATAATTGCTTATATACATTGTTTTGTGCGGGAGGAGATGTGGGATGTACTCCACGGTTTAGGGGAAGATGGGGGATGGACTTCTAGACTGGATCTTGTTTGACATTGATACAGCACTACAATGTGTATCTTTTGTGAAGTATAGAAGTGTTTCTATGTTTCATTGATGCAGCACCAAAATGTGTATCAATTGTGAAATGTTCTTGTTTTATTGGTGCAACACTGTGTATCATTTGTGAAGTACATAAGTGATTTTATGTGTTATTGATACAGCACCAAAATGTGTATCCATCATGAATTTCGAAAGTATTTTAATGATGAGTTATAATCTCATTAAATTGTTTGACCAAGTTCTGAGCCTTGTTTTCAAACTTAGAGTTGAAAAAGAAATGGAAAATGAATTGTAACATGGACATGACTGTCATGAAACTGTAATACGATATAAGTTGGAATCTAAGTGTGAACCATCTATCGAATGTTGTTATTTTTGTCATTGTTTATAGTTGGTTTAGTATATTTCTACTAGGTTGTGGCTCACCCTATATGGGACATCATTTTCAGGTTCAAGTACTATGCCGCCCCCGAGATCTTAGCTTGGATGGTTGTGGGAGTTAAAGACTCTTTTGTTAATTTTTTTTGTTGTATTACATGTAAATTCAAGCCAAGGGCTTAATATGTATTTGAGTTAGTACTTTTCTTATTGTAACCAAGTGTTGACTTGGAAAGTTATAAGCCCGCACTACAACAAGTTGGGTCTTGAATGACGAAATTTTTTTGTCTCTAAAGAGCTAATTTCGTCACTATAGATATTTGTGAGGAAATATTTTCGTCACCGGTTTCGTCATTGAATGTTTGTCACTAAAAACCAACGTGACGAAAAATAATTTCGTCACCAATGAAATTACTTCAGTGACGAAATTTTTTGTCACCAATAAAACAACATTTTGTCGCCAAAAATTCTCATTTTCGTCACCAAATAGTTTTTCAATACCATATTTATAACTTTAGTTGACGAATAAATTTGTCACGCATGTTGATCATTGATGAGGAAATAATTGTCACAATAAGATGTAAAGGTGACGAAATTTTTCGTCTTCAGAGTCATAATTTTTTGTCGCCAAAAATTCTCATTTTCATCACCAAATAGTTATTCAGTACCATATTTATGACTTTAGTTGACGAATAAATTTGTCACGCATGTTGATCATTGATGAGGAAATAATTTCGTCACAATAAGATGTAAAGATGACGAAATTTTTCGTCTTCAAAAGTCATAATTTTTTGTCACCAATAAAACAAAATTTTGTCGCAAAAAATTCTCATTTTCGTCACCAAATAATTGTTCAGTACTATATTTATAACTTTAGTTGACGAATAAATTTGTCACACATGTTGATCATTGATGAGGAAATAATTGTCACAATAAGATGTAAAGGTGACGAAATTTTTTGTCTTCAAAAGTCATACATGGGTGACGAAATATATTTCGTCATAAATATATATACACGTGACAAAATTTTTAGTCACCAAACAACAAAATAAATAAAAACTTTCATATATAAACTGCAGTAAATTTTGTCACAAAAAAAGTTTATTAGTGACGAATAATCACTTTGTCATAATAAGAAGTACAAATGACGAAAAAATTCGTCACTAAAGTTGTTCCATATTTTATATTCAATTTAAGTTATTATTTCACAAATATCCCTGCTCAGATCCCAGTAGCCTTTTAATTGTACTAAAAAATCCACTAGCTATTATACACCACTCCACACAAAAATTCACTAAACCATTATATTATAAATCAAAATGTATCCATCAAACAACTTTAATAATAATCTATTATGTATAACAAAAAAATCATCAAAGCAAATCCCAAAATGAACTAATGTGGAGTCCACAAAAAAAATCAACACTCAATCTTGATTTGCAACTACAACTAAGGCCTCGTTTGGGAACAGGTTTTTTTACAAACTTTTTGGCTAAAATGTAATGTAAAAAATACTAGTATGTTTGGGATGACTTTTTAGCTTTTTATGAAAAGATATGCAAAAAGTAGAGAGAAAATAGAATCTTTAACTTTTTGGTATGGGTTGTTAGTTTTTTGGTTTTTTTGGTGACTTTTTGACTTTTTGGCTAAAAAAGTCACTTGCCAAACGAGGCCTAAGTATCAGTTCAGGAAATAAATAAATAATTCAACACTTGATCTTGATTTGCAAATATGCTTCCAAACGTCATCAAAAATCAATTTGCAAAGAAAATAAATAAGGAAGACATTAATATATTATTAATTACATCTAAAATCATATTTAAATAATTTTATTTTATAAACCAATTTAATAGAAATGCATATAACAATCCAAAACTTCAAAGAGTTGAAGCAATCCTTAATGATAAGCAACACAGATAACAGAAAATGACAAAAGATTGCAAGAATACCATGTATCACTAGCACTAATGCCAACAAGAACCAAAGAGAATCACATGACGTGTTCACAAACTAATCAATCCATAGTTTTTATAGGAGTTACCATTTTCATTTAAATCTAAATATGTTCCTATTTTATTTTGAACTTCAACGAGGTAAAAGGTCAAAACACACATGCAAGCAAACATAAAAACAAAAACAAATACACACGAATAGATATTGAAATAAAAACACAATTAGATCTCCAAACATTTTGGGTTAATTATATTTTATATGGTTTTGTCCAAAAACACTTTACCTCCTTCATGTTTAAAAATATACACATAACCCTCTTGAAATTTGGAGTAAAGTGCAAACGTTGCAAATTCTGGTTAAGTTAACCATGCGTTAACACACTAAATTGAGCGTGTGTTAAGAAATATATATAATGATACTTTTGCCCCTTTTTCAATTTGCCTTTTTCTATTATTTTCTTCTTCATTCCCTCTCCCTCCTCCTCCTTTCTACAGCAGCAGACCCACTCGCCATTCCCCTTCTCATTTCCTCCTATATTTCACATGCCACCACCAACCAATAGCCCCATGGACCAAGGACTTCCTCGGATGAAAATTGAATTCCCACGTTGGGATGGAGAAGATCCGGCTGGATGGATTTCTCAGGCAGAACGTTATTTTCAGTTTCATTGGACAACTAGAAATATGAAAGTTCATATTCCTAGTTGTCCAATGAAACTAAAAAAAATAATATCTGAGCCAATTATTTTATAGAAGATCATAATCATATCATTCCCCTACACTTTAAAAATAACCTTGTCCTCAATGTTGCATCAAATCATATCAAGCACAAGCAGTCAATTGAAATTACGAACAGAGAAGCATCAACTATACCCTTATCTCTAAGCAGTAGCAACATACACATTAGAGCAAACAAGAATGTGAGTAGCCTCACCAATTTACAGAGGAAGAGGACACCACCCGCATAGTTGTTTTCAATGTAAAATCCAGAGGAGACTTTCGACCAGGAATATGGAATTCCGAGCATAAATTTCCCAAAGTGAAATCACCTTTTCTTTCAGAAGAATCAGAAGCTAAACTGGAATGGGGAGGCGGTTCATGAGCAACCAGTCCTTTCAGAGCTTTGTCCTGACAAGAAAAATATATGTCAGGTTGTTTCCATAGAAGAGATATTTTAAATACAATCGCAAAAGGATATTACTGACAAAAGAAATACCAAATCAACAGTTTCCCGGCCAGATAGCTTTTCTCCACCTGCTGATAGCTCTGTAACACTACGAAATGTATTCTCACTGCATTTTTCAGTTGTTTTACAAGCTTGCACTGTACCATCTCTGGTACCTGAAGCAAAAGAATCCTCCGGGCTGCCAGCAAACAAAGCAAGAAAATGAAAATGCGACAAATAATCTAATCGTTATAAATAAGGAAGACCACTCTGCAAAGTCCTACTGTGAAAGCTGTGATTGACTTTTGGCAGCCAAATCTGACGGAACAGAGCAGCTCTTCAGGCTGCCATTATGCTCCACAGGACTGTTTTCCTGCTCATGAGAAAACAAATATATTAACTGTCAAATGACAGCATTTGCAGATCAAAGCATAAGAAGAAAATTAAGAGCGATGAAGATTTAAATCACCACATTAGATACAGCAGCATAAATATTACAGTTTTAAAACAATGTACTGACCTTTGCATTTTCTTTTCTAGAAAGCATCCTCAGCCTAATGCTGCTTTTTCTGACCGGATATACCTCGTCCATCCGGGTGTCAATGTATCTACGGTTCTTTGATAAATCTGGCTTCTTAAGCCCACAAACTATCCCGGTTGTGTTCCTAACATAAGTCAAAAAAACTGTTATCAAACAAGATCCAAAAGTAACCAACAGAAACAATAGAGGCAAAACTTACTCCAGAAAACCAAGCTCAGCAGCTGGAGACTCATCAACAAGCTCCACAACATTCTTTTGCTTCAATTGTTCTCCCTGTCATTGAAACACAACGCCAAGAGAATATATTAGCCACTACCATTAGAATTTTGGTAAGTCAAAGATTCTTGCAAGCTTGATTGCATTTGAAAGCAAAAAACATTACCATATGAAACCTTACATAACATAAGAAGTTAGCAGTGCACTACATCCAATAAGTAGATGGCATACACATTCAGCAATAAATGCCACAACAATAGGCAGCTTATTTGATGATATCCAATTAACATAACATTGCTTACAAGAGGTAAATTTTGAGAATATTGAGTAAAAGAGTGAGATATTTAGGAAGAAAGATGTTAAAATATGAGATTAAACTACACCAACAAAATCAATTTTTTGGTGAAGACAGAGGGCATATTGCAATGCACAGTCCTCTATTTCATTTAGAATTCCAATCCATTTAATGAGTAAAACAATGAGATATTTAGTAGAAAGATATTAAAATAACAAAATAAAACTACACTAACAAAATCAAAATTTTGGTGAAGACAGGTGATGTTGCAGAGCGCAATCTTCCATTTCACTTAGAATTTCAATCCATTTCAAAAGGTATGTACATGGCTATGAAGCACCAACACTCCAAAACAGGTGTTGTAGCAGTGTCAAACACGGGGACATTTAATTACTTGCTTTCAGGGGTCACACCGGGGACATGCCAACTAATCTTTTTTTCCCTATTCTTTAGTGCTTTTGATGGATATTGGATGTTGAATGTTTATTACTTTTTACTTAGATTTAAAGAATTAATAGATCATCCATAAAAAACATAAATGATAAGAATTTAACTTAAGAGTGGTTTCTATTAATATGAAATAGGACTAGACCATCAACAGACCAAGGTGCAATAAGTATATGCTAAGTGATTTCTATTAATATGAAATAGGACTAGACCATAGTAGGTATAGTAAGTGATTTCTATTAATATGATCTATCTTCCACATACACAAAAAAACAATGTTCAATGCTCAGATGCCAATGGGAAGATAAGATCCATGACAATCTAGTTTCTTGTATTTTGCATCCTATAATTTTAGTTATTTATTTTTTTAAAACAAAAAGACTAACTGGATTCGTGTGCTTACTTACTTGCTTTGTTTACCTTGTGATTTGCATGATATCTCTAATTTGCATGGGTTGTATAAAGTCTAATAACCACCCAACATTATAGTAAAGCAGTACTAAAAAAATAAGTTTAAATCAAAAAGTAAAACCTGAAGCACTTGAGCAGCATATCTCTGAGCTGCTGCATCTTGCTCAGCAAATTTGTGAGCATCTTCTGTTACCCTTTGTTCTTGCTCTACCCTCATCAAAACCTATCAGATAAGTCATAATCAATATATTGTTAGAAATCTTTATCACATAAGAGAAAACAAGAACCAATTTTTTACATATTTAATTGTCAAACATAAAGCAATGCAAAACCTGAAGCATGACATTTTTTTGTTCTTGCTTATCAACAAGGGCATGTCGAAGCTCAGCAACCTCTCGCTCCAATTGTTCAACCTGAAACTCATAAGCAAATAGTTAATATGAAAAATATTTTATTTAACATTTTAAACTAGGTAGAAGAATAAATAAGAACTCAACCACTAAACAAGCATCTTGCTTACAAAAATTTTAATAACTACATCAAACAATTTCAGTAGATTTCGAGTAGAAAAAGGTGAAAAACTTAGTAGGAATTCCCCACCTCTCTCTCTTTCCTCTTCGATTCAAAAACCACAAAATATGATCAGGAAAAAGAAATCAAAATACACCACAAAGAAGGTGAGGAATTTTGGCTGAATTCAATGAGTTATGGGAAAATAATTAAACAAATTAAGAAAACTCACAATGGAATGGAAATGCAGGGCCAGGCACAAGCTCATAGAGGAGTCGTGATCAACATGGAATCATTCAGTGGAATGGAAATGCAGGTTTACATTGGAAAACATCCTTATGTAGATGTCTATGGTGGCAAATTGTGGATTAATATCCTACATGAAATTGACACACACAATTCATCAGCTGTTGATCTAGTTCTCAAATTGCGTAATGAGCCTGTTTGGTGCAGTATTTTTTATGTTTAATTATTCTAAGATCCCCTAAACTATTAGTGAGAACTAGATCAACAGATGATGAGGATTAAGATGGTACAATGTCGTCAAAGCCTCTAGGCTTGTATGCCATGGAGGAACAGCTGATGAATTGAAGCTATTGTTGCTCATGTCCCTGCATACCATCATCTTATGGTCAGAAAATGCAAATAGATTTCACATGCATTGCTAACAAAATTGAATATCGAAGGAAATTGCAACAACTTACAGAGAGTTGAGAAAGTTCATCCCTGTGAGATTAGGCAAGGGTCCATTTAAATTATTGTTCGACAAGTACCTGAAAAGGCATAACCAAAACACTTTCTTAATGACACAACTTGAATTCTACATGAAGTTGGAAAATTTTCTGTGTGTGTACTTACAGCTCCCTGACACTTGTAAGGTTGAGAATTTTATAAAAATTATTTGAATAACTTTCACAAGTGTTGTTTCTATACTTGTACTTGCTGTCTCTTGTTAAGACTTCACCCTTCCAACCTTTCCAAGCTTGACAAACTGGTTGGCTATCTCGGGTAACAAATACCTCGGATATCCCCTCACTTGGTTACCTCGGCTAACTTCAACTTGTAAAATTTTAACAAGTGTCAAGCCCATTCTTCATTCATGCTCCTTGCCCCCCAATGTGAACCTAAGTACCATTTATGTTCACATTAAGCATGCATCTCCAATAAGATAAAAGAAAATAAATACAAATAAAACTAAGCCTAACAAGTACTACACTAAACTAGTATACAACAATTGAGGTAAACTATAGCAAGTAAATTAATAGATTAAACTAAAAGAAAAATAAAAACTAAAAATAAAGAGAGAATACTAATAAATACAACTACTAAGCACATGTGAAACTTATTTTATTATTATTATTATTATTATTATTATTATTATTATTATTATTATTATTATTTTGTCAGTAAACAAAGAACAAACTAAACATAAAAAACTAATGTCTGGACTAAACAAAGAGTGAACTAAATAAATATACATAACTCTAATACAGTAAATCAAATAAACTAAACAACTAAAACAACTAAACTAAACAAAACATAATATTAACAACTAAAATAAAAAGGAAAAGTCTAAAATACAACAACACACAACTACTATCCTATAAATTTTTTTTGTTTTTGGTTGCACGTACGTCGGAGGTGGTAGCACATGCAACGATGCTGGTCTAAAATAGAGGAATGGAAAAAGGTTTGAAGGGGAGGAAAAAAAAAAAAAAACCTTACCAACGTTTGATGATGCTTGTTTGGGGGCTTTTGAGACGCTCCGTGCAGTTCTTACCTCTGCCCCAATTATGCAATCACTGGATTGGTCTCTTCCATTTGAGATCATGTGTGACGCCTTAGACTATGTTGTCGGGGTTGTTTTAGGCCAAAGGGTAAATAATGTGCCCTATGTTGTTTACTATGCTAGCTATACTCTCTCTAATGCAAAACTCAATTACACTGCCACTGAAAAAGAGTTGCTAGCTGTAGTGTTTGCATTGGACAAGTTCTGGTCCTATCTTCTCGGTTCCAAGGTCATAGTGTTCACTGATCACATCGCTTTGCGGTACTTATTGTCCAAAGAAAAAGGACCAAACCAAGGCTGATTAGGTGGATTCTACTCCTTCAAGAGTTTGAGCTAGAAATCTAGGATAAGAAAGGATCCAAGAATGTTTT